TATATATTAAACTTATATAATTAGAAAAGTTATGTTTTAGGTCATTCAAAAGTCTTTCTAGTTTAATAGGATTGCCTATAAGGTATTGTTATAATATTAATTTTTGAGTTAAATATTTTTAATTCTTATAAAATAGGTGCGGTGCGATTTAATTTTGATTCCCACATTTTTTTTCTATCATTTAAAAATTTATAAATATTTCTTTTTTGTCTTTGTTAAATGAGTAAATTTTAGTTTTAATCTCTATAAAATATTTTTCTTTGATATTTGTTCGTTCAACATCTAAAATCGAAGGGTGACTGCGCTAGAGGAATTGAAAGTCAACTTACACCTTACTGTGTGGTTGTGAAATGGGTGGAGAAGTCAAGTCTGAGATTTGATATGGTGGCCAGGCGTACCTACCGGGCTACATGTGCTCTCTATTGGGATAAATTATACCTAAATATGTAGACCTTCTTGATTGCTGCCTAGCTTTGCTCATAAACTAACTATACCTTACCTTGTTTTTCACTGTAATTGTGGGTTTGTGGCACCCCTAATGCCACATATTCAATATATTATTGGCTGTTTCAAAAAAAAAAAGTGGCTTAGGTACTAGCGGGTATTCAACGAAAATTTTGAAAGTGGGTTGGATGAAGCTAAAAAAATTACATGAATTAGATGAAATTTGTCAGCCCAAAGAATAGGAAGCTCTAGGGGTAAAAACTTAATTGGTGTTTAATCTTAACCTGCTTGCAAAGTAGAAACGATGTTGTCTACACGATAATTAGACAATTTGGTATAACATTGTCAAACACAAATATGGTGAATTAGATAGGGTGTATCAAGCTTTGCTCTTCTATGTTTTTCAAAAAAATATGGCTAGGAAAGTGAGAGGGAATCTACGAAAGATTATAGAACAACTCGAAGTGATATTTAAATTGAAGTGTCGCTGATACTGTTATAATATAACAAATATCATTTTGGAGCAAAACCTACCATGAAGTTGAGATGGCCGAGTTGGTCTAAGGCGCCAGATTAAGGTTCTGGTCCGAAAGGGCGTGGGTTCAAATCCCACTCTCAACAAAATTTGACTCCATGGCCCAATGGATAAGGCGCTGGTCTACGGAACCAGAGATTCTGGGTTCGATCCCCAGTGGAGTCGCTTTTCTTTTCAAAAATATAATAATTTTTCGTTTATGAAGCTTCTACACATTGGAAGTAATTATAGTTTTTTTTATATTTTATTTTGTTGAACACAAAACATAATAAATTACAACCTTCGGTTGTTGAAGATATTATAAGATTTAAGGTTGTTGAATAATTTGTTTGTATTGATATAAAAACTACATACTTGTAGGAAAGTTGCTACTTGAAACTGATTCATATTGACTTGTTATTTATTTTAACACGACTATCCTTGTCTGGTAAACCATTGTAGGTCCTCATGATTCATATTACCCTGTGGCAGATTAATCATTGGTGCATGGTTTTTCAGCTTGCATCATTGCAAATGATATATTATTCTGGAGTCAGAGATGTTCCCTGACCATGTCCAAGTCAAGACATGTATCATGTAATCACAAATTGTCTTCTCTTCCAATCCTTTTTCAGTAAGATTTTCGAGGAAACATCAACTTAAATCCTAAAGAAGGAGCATGGCAATGTAAGGATCTTATCTTAATCTACTTGACATCAAAGGACATTTTCTTATTATTTATGTTGATATTTCAATATATACTCATCACTAATTGGTACATTTCTTTGCAACTTCTGACAATTAAAATAATCAGATAATTAAAATGCGGAGTAACTTCTTTTAATTATTAAGTTCCTGCAATTTATATACCAAGACAAGCTATAGAAGTTAGTCTTAGTTAGAGGCATTACAGTAAGTATTTGCAACAAAATGTATCCTATAGTGAATGAACATGATGAGGTATATCCAGCTCATCATAGCCATCCAAACTATGTTATACCAGTGGTGCCTCCAAGTTATGGCACTCCACAACCAATACAACCTTATGCTCCTCCATACATCACCACCAGTGGCAGTGTCAACACACACAGATGGTCAACTGGTCTTTGCCGTTGTCTTGATGATCCTGGAAGCTGTAAGAACCCAAAAATCATGTGGATTCATTATTTTTCTGCGGTATAAACATCAAGCAATTGACACACTATATGGTTGTTCATTTTCTAAGGTTTCGTCACTTGCTTCTGCCCTTGCGTTACATTTGGATTGATTGCTGAGATAATAGATAAAGGCAATACAAGTAAGCTTTTATATTAAACATTATATATACATATATTATGGGCATATTTGGATAAATTTCTATAAAAACACTTCTAGAAGAAAAAAAATGAAATAAGTTTCTCTATAAACTAACACTAACTTATGTATAAGTTTATTTGTAATTTTTTGGAAAATTTATATGAAAGAATTCTTATAAATTATAGCTTATAAATAAGTTAATTTTAGTTTATGAAGAAACATATTTCACTTGTTCTTTCAATTTTTTCTTGATAGAAGTCTTTCCGGATATGTTTAATGTCCAAATAAGCTCTATGATCATTACAATATAGGAGGGGATGACTCAATGGTTATATCTATTGCTATTTTTTGTTTCAATATTTGCAGCTTGCACTTGTCATGGGGCTATTTATGGGACGCTACTATCTCTGACTGGGCTTGCATGCTTGTATTCGTGCTATTATCGGTCCAAATTGAGGGCACAATATAACTTACCAGAGGCTCCTTGTATGGACTGTTTAGTTCATTTCTGTTGTGAAACTTGTGCTCTATGTCAAGAGTATAGAGAGCTTAAAAACCGGGGATTTGACTTGAGCATAGGTAATATCTCTAATTTGTGATCGACAAATATAGCTACATAATGCTCTTCCTTCAGTTGATAATCTTCTAAGAAGAGGCATCGTCTTGCCTCCTCTAGACTCAATGTGTGTGATGTGCAATGAGCAACCAGAGACATTACCGCATCTCTTTTTCAGCTGCCCAATTGCTGACCAATTGTGGAAGTACTGTTTTTCTTGGGCTTCTATCAGCACAGTCCAGCCTCAAACAATGAGGCTACATTATTGTCAGTACCCACAACTATGTTCTGGTCTTCGCCAAATGAAGGGTTGGGATATTGTTAGGAGTGTTGTTGTATGGTGTATTTGGAATGGGCGAAACAACAAGATTTTCAGAGGAAGGGTGACTGCGCTAGAGGAATTGAAAGTCAACTTACACCTTACTGTGTGGTTGTGAAATGGGTGGAGAAGTCAAGTCTGAGATTTGATATGGTGGCCAGGCGTACCTACCGGGCTACATGTGCTCTCTATTGGGATAAATTATACCTAAATATGTAGACCTTCTTGATTGCTGCCTAGCTTTGCTCATAAACTTTAAAGAACCGATGTAAAATATGCATTTTGTAGTAGTGATTATTTTTAGTTCCTAATTATCCTTTTAATGTGATACATAACTTCTACTTTAAGAATCTATAAATCTTTTTTAAAGGTATCAAACATTGATATAATATCACAATGGTTGTCAATAACACCTAGGATAACTACTTAACTTTTTAATAAATAAAAAGTAGTTAAAAATGGCACATAAAAAATAAGGACTAAAAACAATTATTCCAATTTTAGAGGGATAAAAAATAAATAAAGCAATTTTCATGGATCAGAAACAAAATTAGTAATTTTATATAGATTAAAAACATGTTTAAGTCTTACTTTTTTTTTTTATATCAAACTCTTTTATATTAAATACAAGTGATTATCTTATGCGAAAGTGTTTTTAAGAATTATTCTTTAATAGAAGTGTTTGTAGGAATTCTTTTTAACTTCTTATTTAATTAAATTTTTTATTATCATATTTTTAAAATTTAATATTTTTAAAATTTAATATTTTTAAAATAAATTATCAATAATAAAAAATAATATTGTGTTACAATATAAATTATTTAT